GTTGTCACAGACAGGAGTTGTTCAGGGAGCTATGATTTCTTCATTTTTGTTGTCGGGACAGTTCACTGTCTTGCCACTTCTTGGACATGTATTGAAGAACATAAATAATGTTGGAGCAGTTAGATACTAAATCACAGGTTGAAAAAATATTATCTGAGACACATATTGATTTTTAAGTTGCAGTGAAGTGAGATTGGGGAAATCAAGAACAAAGGGACTAATAAAGCTCAACTAAACCAACTCATTCTAATAAAGAGTATGTCACTGTGTGGTACAATAAGGGTTTGAGACAAAAATCTATCTCTGAATCTGAGACGGAAAAGCGGTTGACATGATTGTTTCTGAATTCTCAATTTCCGCGATGACCCCTCTTCCAACAAAATTCTCTCATATGAATAGAAAAGAACATTGGAGAGTGTGATCTTGGACCTCAATCACAAATTCATAAATGTACAAAAGATTGGTCGTTTTTTTCATTAGAAGCAATTCCCCTGCTAGGAACCTCTTACAAAGAAACCCGCAAGCACACACAGATATTGGATAGATAGATGTTTACACCAAGTAAAATATTTCAAATATTCTAAGTAAGTAACAGTTCAGTTTGTACAAGGTCAGGGGGCTAAGATGTGGAAGGCAGGTGTTTACCTGTCACCGTGGATTTCATGCAGTAGTGGGTGTGGGTGGCTGTTGGGTGGTCAAGTCCCACCATCTGTTACTCTCAGGCTAGGGCTAGATTTCATGGTGTGGGAGGAGGAAGTGCGGACAAATGTGATTAGCCAAAGGACTTAGAATAAGGCAAGGAGGTGAGGAATTTAAAACAATGAAGAAAAAAATAATGTAAATTAAGAGAAGACAATTCTGGAGGAAAAGTGCTTTCTTTCTCTAAAAAAACCCCCGAACAAGAATTCACATCCTAAAAGACTCAAAATAAGCTTTTAACCTAATAGCCTTTCTCTGCAATAGGTTGGGGTGCGGGGTGGAGAGGCTGGAGGAGGAAGTTACTTCTAGGGACCATTCATTCTCATCAAAGAAAATCCTTATTAGCATGTGTTTGAGGGATTAGTACAGTTTTGAGATCTTCAACAAATGGAGGGGAAATTCTTGCAATGTTCCCCAAACTATGAAATGAAGAATCTGGCTTAGCTGTGTGGGGTGGGAAGATTCACAACATTTTAAGGACTACATGCCAGTTTCGGGAGTCCTGGCATTTTCTGCGTGCCGTGGTATTTCCAAGAATCACAGATGCTACTTTAGCATGCTGGTTGACCATCAGACAAATCCTTGTTCTTCTGTGATTCCTTTTCTCAACCTACTAAATGAGTGAGAGTCACAGAATTAGTGACCTGTGCTATCTCTCCAGCTTCTGATTCAACTTAGAATTTAGAATTCTCAACACTTACTGACTTATCAGCATTTAAGTGATTATTTGATGCTTGAGGATTAGAAACATAACATTTACCTTTTTAATTCAAAAAGATATATATGCATGCATAACTATTTATGTAAAAATGAAATATATTATCTACAAAAAACTCTAAATCTTGATGATCTACATCTTTGTTTCTCAGTTTATTATTAGGAAAGCAGTTGTACAATTTTCTGATAGTTTTAAGGAAGAAAGGAAGGAATGAGAGTTGAGGAAGTAGAATATATTGTTTTATTTTATTCATTTTCCTTTATCTTGTCTTATTGTAGTTTATCTTTATTTATAGTGTTGGAGATCAAATCCAAGGCCATATATGCATGCTAGGCAAACATCCTACCACCGAGTGAAGTTCCAGTCCTTGTGTACATCCTTCTTTCATCATGCTCAGAGTGCTCCACACACATATGTGCTCCAAGGCCAAATCAGCTCATGAAAGTGTAGATTAGCAAAGACACTGAAGTAAAGGTATCATTTCGTTTCATGGTGTCACACATCATTAAAACAATTTTAAAAAAAACATAGTTTACACCCATTATATTTCTCCTTGTTATTTCAAAGCAGTATGTGTGACTATATTCAGGTGGAAATGCAGCTCTAACACAGATAAATGATAAAAATGTGTGTGCACGCACGTGCGCACACACGCTCCTGCTGATACCCGGGCTTAAACTCAGGGCCTTGCACTCTCACTTGGCTTTATTGCTCACAGCTGGCATTCTACCACCTGAGACACACATTCAGCCCTGCTTTTCACTGGTTAGAGATAGAATCTTGAGGACTTTTTTGCCTGGAAAGATTTCTGCTTGGGAAGATTATAGGCATGCGCCACTTGTGCCTGCCTCAAATTTGTATGAGAATAATTTTTCTTTTCCCTCCTGATCTGAGATCCATATGAGATCATAAATTAGATGTATGCCTCTTTAGTCTCCTTTAATTAATTCTGGTCTATCTTTATACAACTGATATTTTTGAGTGTTTCAGGCTAGTTGTTTGGTAGAATATGTAACTTCTGGGGTACATCTGATTTATTAACCTCAAATTTTTTTTAGATTCAGATTAAATGTCTATGGTAGGTGGGGTACTAAAAAGGTTATTTATAATATAGTAAGTAAAATGTTATTTATAATACAAAGGAAGAAACAATGTCCAAGTGTCCCATTTTGGGTGATGCTAAGTTTGATCACAGTGTTAAGGTGGTATCCAACATGTTTTTGTCAGCTTTTTGTTACTGTGTCAAGATACCTGAGATCATAAAGTTATAGGGAGAAAAGCTTACTTTGGCTCATGATTTCAGAGTTATCAGTTCATAGTCACTTGGCACTATTGGTTTGGGCCTGTGGTGGCACAGTATCTCATGGTGGGAACACAGGGTAGAGGGCAGTACACTTTATTGGAATCCAGAAAGTAAGGCTAGAAACAGGAAGGGCCAAGGTCCCAATGTCCCTGTCAAGGGCATTCCCAAACAACTTCACTTTCACTCTGGCCAACCTTCTAAAGGTTCCACTACTTCTCAAAAGCACCACAAGCTGGCAGCAATCCTTCAGCACATAGGCTTTTTCTTTTTTAAAAAGATTTAAAATTATCTTTAAGCTGTACAAAAGAGTTTCCATTAAACAAAGAAGCTTATGAATACAATACATCTTGATCAAGGCTTTTCAAGGACATTCAAGATCCAAATACCAAATACACCACATTTCTCCACTAAAAAGGCTCACTTATTCTTCCATCTGTTTACTTAAGAGACTATGTGAGTATCTTGATTCCCACCAGGCTTTCCACACTTAAGCAGTGCAGTGCCTGCCTAGCAGTACTGGAATATACTGATAATATCTTGCTGAGGTAATTATACTGGCAGCTGCAGAAGAGGATTTTTTTCTCTATTCTGTTTCCCTAGTACATTTATTATCTGCATTCTTCACAAAGAAAACTTTTCTTCAACTCTCCACTGCAATTTCTTTTTGGGCATCAGTATGTACTCATGGCTTTTTAATATGTCTAATGACATAATCTCTCATTAGAATTTGTTGCTTTTCTTGTCTTAAACTTTGACGAGACCCCTTTAAACTGGGTCCTTTGCCATTTTAACATGTTTCTGTTGGAAGGATTTCAATCTTGAAGGATCAAGAATGTTCCAGGTTCACCTTGGTTTTTGTTTCCACACGTTGGTTTTTGTTTCTTTTCTTCGGGAGAGACATTGACAGTGCAAGATTAAGATCTGAGGAGAGAGTTTATAAAGGGAATTTAGGAGAAGAAAATATTTAGAGGGAATTCTTGGTCAAGGATCTACCTACCCTAAACAGGCAGGCTTCTCTAGCTCACCAAATTTGAATTTTTTTCCCTGAAAAATTATGTTATTATTATTGTGCGAACAGTTCTATAATTGGCATATGTGTAATATTATGTTACACATATTGATACATTATAAATATTACTGTTGGCAATGGTTATCAGTAGTGACTTCCTTTCAACCAGGTTATTTTGTCTGATTCTAGGAGGTCTGAATCATTTGCCTACAAGCTGAAGTTCATGTTCAGAATCTTAGTGTCAATATTGTCATAATGTGCTCTAACAGCAACTATAGTGTTTCAAGATTCGGTTACAAGGTATTGCTTCTAAAAGGCTTGTGAAACAGAAACAAAACAAAACAAAACCAACAAAACCTCTCAAGAGAATCATTGTGATTTTAAGAAGGAAGCAAATACTCCCTCCCCAGGGCTGTGCTGACTTAGGATCTTACAGGATATTGGGTGGGCTGCCTCCAGGCTCGGCCACTCTGGCTTCTCACTTCCCCCAGCGGTGGAGCAGGTCCGCGTGGAGCCCAGCGGACAGCAGAGGACGCCGCACCCGCGTGTGAGCCGGCGCTTCCCCCTGGCGGCGGCGTCTTCGATTGCAAGTCCCGAGCTGGGGAGGGCGACCGCGGGTCTTTCAAATTTGCAAAGCTCGGCTGCTTTCGAGAGGCCTCAGTGCAATCGACTTCGAGTAAGCAAGGAGTGCTTGGCTTGCTTCAAATAACGGTAACCTTCCGGACACCCATGGGCGGTTTTGCAAGGGCACCGATGCATGCATGCGAGCACACGAGGCACGCCTCAGAGGGAAGGAGACGGGCGCGCGCCCAGGGCGCTGTTCCCTCCGCTTTCCCTACGCTGCAGACACCACGTAACCAATGCAGTTTACAGATTTCCCACCCACCCTCCAACCTCCCCCCCGGGGGGGGGGTGCAAGCCCGACGTTAGGAACGGAGGCCCGGGGAGGCCTCAGCATCCACCCCGACGAAACCCGGGGCCGGCCCCCAGCTGGCCGAGGGCCCTGCCGCGGCGAGCCGGCCTGACACACACAGAACCGGCCCCTGCGGCAAGGAGGGGGGGAAGCGACATCTTCCCCGGGCGGGCAAACGGTGCGGCCCCCGGGGTGACGCCTCGCGCCCCAGGGCCTTGGCCCCTCGGAAGGACTCACCCCTTCCGCGGCCGATCCAGGGGGTGCCGCCACCGCCTGCACCGCCGCGGCCGCGCGCCCGGGCCGGAACGGAAGTGACTCACGGAACCTTCGCCGCGCGTCCCGAGTTTCCGGCGGGGCGGAGGGCGGAAGGGCCCGGCGCGCGGAGCTTCCCTGGACCGCCATGGAGGCGCTGGGCGCGACCGGCCGGGCGCTGCGGCTGTGGCGGGCCGCTCCCCGCGGCGCGGCCGGCTGCCGTGAGTCTCCGGGCCCCGGGTGGGGGAGCGGAGCGCAGCGAGGGGGGTTCCCGACGTCCCGGGCCGGGAGGGGAGGCGTGTCCGCCCCGTGGTGGGGTCGCCGCTTCCCGGGCTGCGGGCGCCGCTGCCGGGCGCTGGCGCCGCTCGGGGGAGGCTGAGCACGGAGGCCGCGGGGCCGACTGCAGCCGCGGCTCGGCCCCCCGCAGACTCACGGCCTTCCGGCCAAAGCCCCTGTTCGGGGTTGGGAATAATAGCATTTCCCACCCTAGTACTGACCGTGTGTGTGTGCGCGCGTGCTGACTGTGTGTGTGCTGACTGTGTGCTGACTGTGTGTGTGTGTGCTGTGTGTGTGTGCTGACTTTGTGTGTGTGTGCTGTGTGTGTGTGTGTGCAGACTGTGTGTGTGCTGACTGTGCTGACTGTGTGTGTGCTGACTGTGTGCTGTGTGTGTGTGCTGACTGTGTGTGCTGTGTGTGTGTGCTGACTTTGTGTGTGTGTGCTGACTGTGCTGTGTGTGTGTGCTGACTGTGTGCTGTGTGTGTGTGCTGGCTGTGTGTGCTGTGTGTGTGTGCTGACTTTGTGTGTGTGTGCTGTGTGTGTGTGTGTGTGTGCTGTGTGTGTGTGGTAAACCCCAGTGTGTGTGTGTGTTTGTGTGTGCTGACTGTGCGTGTGCTGGCTCTGTGTGTGTGTGTGTGTGTGTGTGTGCTGACTGTGCGTGTGCTGGCTCTGTGTGTGTGTGTGTGTGTGTGTATGCATGCGTGCTGACTGTGTGTGTGTGTGTGTGTGTGTGTGGTCCTCAGCTTCCTGTTGACTCTGGTCTAGTGTGTGTTTGTTTCTGTGTGTGTGTGTGTACTGACTGTGTGGTAAACCCCAGCTTTTCTCATCCTCCCGTTGACTCTGGTATAGTGGTGTGTGTGTGTGTGTGGGGGGTAAACCCCAGCTTTTCTCATCTTCCCGTTGACTGGTTTTGTGTGTTGTGTGTGTGTGTCCGTGTCCATCTTCTCATCCTCCTGTTGACTCTGGTGTAGTGGTGTGTGTGTGTGTGTGTGTGTGTGTGTGTGTGTGTGTGTGTGTGTGGTAAACCCCAGCTTTTCTCATCTTCCCGTTGACTGGTTTTGTGTGTTTTGTGTGTGTGTGTCCGTGTCCGTCCCTGTTCTATGGTTAGAACTTAGGGCCTGGGCCCTGAGCTTTGGTTCTCAAGGCTAGTGCTCTACCACCTAAGGCACAGCTCCATTTCTGGCTTTTTTGGGGGTGCTTAATTGGAAATGTCAATAGGTCGTATGGACTTTCCAGCCAGGGCTGGCTTTTTAACGCCAGCCTCAGATTGTCCAGCCTCCTGAGTACCGGGATCACAGTCCTGGGCCACTGACTTCCACTCCTGTCTAGCTTTGATTCAGCTTCCTGGATACTTTGGCCCTTCCTTGTAAAGCACTGATTGCATTAATACCCCGGAAAATTGGTAGGAGACAGATATGATGTGAAAGAACAAAGTTGCAATAGAGACTCGGATCTGGGCTGGCAGTGGCTTTCTTCCTCTGGTGTTTTAATTAATAGAAAGTCGTTTAAGTTTGCCTCTGAGCACATTTAAAAAAAAACGGTGTTTAGTTGCCTTCAATACTTCATTATAACCCAGTTGCCTTCTATGTTTCCCTGCCATAGTAATGGTGGGAGTGGAGCCTGGGGAGTGGGGGGTTACCCAGCAGTAATTTACTCATTACTTACAGTATTTAAATATAACTTTCTGCAGGATTTATAGCAACTTCTCCGGCTGCTCAGCTGTCACCTACGGAACTGACAGAAATGCGGAATGAGCTGTTTAATAAAGAGAAAAACAGGCAGTTATCATTAACTCCCCGAACTGAAAAGATTGAAGTTAAATATGTTGGGAAAACCAACCCGGGTACCATCTTTGTGATGAATAAAAACATTTCAACTCCTTACAGTTGTGCCATGCGTAAGTAGCAGAATTGGGGTACAGTTTTGGCCATTTCTCAGGAGCCCCGTGGAAGAGCTGGTGTAGAGGACACAAGATGCTGTAACTACTTCTCTAAGTCTCAGAAGTTGTCCTTTTTATGATACCTTATTGTGCACTCACTGTCTGTTTAGCTGTGGAGGGAACTGTGGGTATTCAACATTGTCAGTGTCTTAGATCTGTTGTCCTTGGACTTGATTGAATCTGGCAATGCTGAGGGTACGTTTTTTTCTGGCAGAAGGCCAGACCTGAATGCATGGTTACTGGTCGATCTCTCCCTTTTGATGTCATGGGAGCAGTTACCATGCAGGTCACCAAAGGACTTCAGTATAAGGACTTCTGTGCTGCAGGTGACTGGCTTGCTTCTCTATTTTTTTAACCACTTTTTCTATTATATCTCATTCTAGCCTGTTAAATCTTTTTTTCCACTTTCCTCTTTCTTAGTTTTGCATATACTTGCATGCACATATAAATATGTGAATAGAAAAGTGCACATAATGAATGTACCAAGGATAAAAATACTTGTTTCTGGTTAGAGGGCAATTGTAGCTCAGGTATGATTTGATAAGGAAATCAAGAGAAAAGTCTCTAAACATTTTTGATCAAAAACATTGAGATGGAGCTGTAATAGAAATGATCATGTTTAAATGTAGATGTTCTCCAAATACTTCCACATAGGCACGATTGGCTGCATTGTTTAGATGTATAGAAAATTCAGGAGTGGTCCTATTTAAATAATTAACATTACTTAAGCTGCTTTAAGGAATTGTAGACTCTAACTTCCTTTTCTCTGGCACTTGAATTAGTAATTGTGATAATTATTTCCTTAGTTGGTTTTCAAATATTTCTTGAATCTCTTCTATGTAACAGGATTACAAAGTGAGACAAACCTGAGGCCCTATGGTACTTTATGCAAGGCATATGTACAGGTGAAGTTTGTCATCCATACCTTCAGTCATTCAGGAAACTGTCATTGAGCACCTACAGTGTTTAGCATTAGTGCTGGTCATGCATATACTGATGAGTGAGGATAGATACAATCCTGCCTTTATGGGGCTTATGTAGTAGTTGATAAATTTGCTCTTACAGTTGGTCTCCTTTTGTATATGTGTACTTTCAAAATAATCAGAATTACAGTTGTATTTTAGGGTTTTAGAGCAGACTAGGGCTGATTGGCTTACGTGTGAATTTATACTCATAATTTAAAAAACAACTACAGAATTTAAATTGGAAGAGCCTGTGATATGGATGGAAGTAAAAGTTTTTTTTAGAGTAAGGCTCAAGATTATGTAGGTCTGAATTCATTTTCATGTAAGTATAGATCTTAGATTATTTTATTAATTGACAAATTAATTTCCAACTAGACTTAAATGATTTAGGAAATTTTGTTAATTTATTCAGTATGTTAATTGATTGCAGATATTTGTACTTTTTTTTTTTTTTTAAAACAATCCACAATCTTTCCATTGTTTTGTTTTATAACATAGCTCTTAAACATGTAACTTTTCCCTTTGGATTTTGTTAGATTTAGATCATCAATCAGTTTTAAATTCCTAGATTTAAGTGAGTGGTACTGCAAGAAATCCATTCTGGCTCTTGTGGATGGACAACCTTGGGACATGTATAAACCTTTGACCAAGTCCTGTGAAATTAAGTTTCTTACTTTCAAAGATCATGATCCGCAAGAAGTGAATAAGGTATTTCCATTTCTATATTCCCCCCTCTCCCTGCCAACCTCAACATTTTTTTTTCCTTCTTTGTAGTTAAACCCAAACTTTGTGTGCAATATAAGATTTAAAAATGTGCTTAAGGTCTTAGGTTGTACTAGTGTTTTACAGTGTTAAATGAGGTGTGTTTATAGTTCAAAAATACTAGTAATACCTATTTCTCTCTTATTTTGTATTGAGAAAACTATATGATAGGTCTTTGACATGTGTATGTGACTTTGTTCAGTTAATGTTTGGATTCACCCTTTGAACATCGTCTTTGGATGAATTTAGTAGCTTTAAAAAAAAACAAACTTTTGCACTCTATACTACCCCTGATGTCCTGTGGTATTAAGGTTTGAAATCAAAGCTCATGCACATGTTAGGTTGATCTTTTACCCCTTCAGCTATGCTCCCATCCTTGCTGTTTGCTGGTTATTTTGATGATAGAGTCTCATGGATTCTGTCCTCCAGATCTCAGCCCTCCAAGTAGCATGGATCAGTAGCACCCAACTCTTTGCCCCATGCCTTTTTTTTTTTTTGTACTTAGAAGTCTTCTTTCACAGTTTGCCTCTTTTTGTAGTTAAAATAATCCATCCTATTAGGCTGTATTAATAATACAGTAGCAGTGGGAAAATGTCTATTGAATATCAATTGCATAGACTTACAAATCACAGTGCTTATTGTTTTTTCCAGCATAAGTCTTTATTTCTAAATTGAATGTGTAGAGGAAGAAATGGGGTCTAAAGTTTTGATGATACTCTTACCATAGTTAAAAACCTTGAGGTTTAAACTAAAGCCTTGGTACTTGCTAGACATTCACTCTAGCCCACTTGAGTCACTCTACCAAGTTACTCAAGTAAGGATCATGTCAGTTAGTCCTTAAGCTCTTGGTTAGCTGACAATATGTGTGTGATTTTTAAGATCATGTGTAATTAGCCTCCATCCTTAATCTCCCACTGCATCTGTTCACCTCTTCTTTAAATTGGCTGTACTAGCAGTCTTGGTCACTAATAGTTGAGCTGTATTATTTTACTTGCTTTTGCTAATGTGTTTCTTTCAATGCTGAGCCTTTACTTTCTTCTGCTAAAATTCTGTTCATGCGCTGTGGTTCATTTTAATGAATGCCCTCTGCTCTGCAAAACCTTCTAGGTTTCTGTTTTTCAGAATTCTATAGGATCCAGCAATAGCTGACTAATGTCTCTAGTTGTAGTGTTTCATTTTTGTCTTGTAACAGAAATTGCTGAGTGCATGGGATTCTTAGTTTTGTGAATATAGGGACAGTTTTCTTATAGGATCTAGTCCTTGTCTATGTAGATGTTTAAGAAATATTTGTTGAAATACTTGAGCAAGAAAATGTTAGAAATGTCAACACTGTTATGTATTAGGAATTGTTGTAGGTGATGTACAGATGTACAAACTTACTTCATTTTCATACACACCCTCCAGAGTGTGGTATTCTCTTATTTTTCAAATGAAAAACTAAGAGTGATTGCACAGCTTGACCAAGGTCACTAGTTTAAGAAATGCTGGAGCTTGGATTTGACTGTAGATGTTCAGACTGAAGCTTAACAAACATCTGAAAACACGTAGTGTAGATGGAGAAGTATATTTTGCCCCTTTGCTCTAAAGCCTAGATGTGTGCTTATTTGTAGTATAACATGGTAGAGAATTTATAACAGGGTGAATCTTTGCAACACAATCAAGTGACCCTACTCTTATAAGCCTTAGAAGGCAAAGCTAATGAAAGTAAAAAATGCTAGTGAAAGGAATGGTGTAGGGTGCATGCTTATCCTGTGGACAGTGCCTTCTGAGAAGAGCATTTCCGTATACCATATCAGGCATGTCCATACATCAGAATGTGCTAGTACAGTGAAGTCTAGTTAGTGGCAATGTGGCTTCATTACAAATATGAAAAGCTCGAGTGATGGGTTATGTTTATATGAACAGCCATAAGTAGTTCTTAAAAGTTGGGGTTTTCTTACTATAGTTAAAAGTATAGTATAAACAGCTATAGTATAAATACCTATAATTTAATGCCTTTATTTTATTTTGTATAAATTTGCCAAGAATTTAATTTTACCCTAAGTGAAAAATAAATACTGTGAAACATTAAAATTGACCTGTTGTTTGATAACCATGTGGTTGTGGTTTCTTGCACAGAAACACTGCTCAGCGTTTGAAGTTAGCGTGTTGTTCTTTGTTATTTTTGCTGAGTAAAAGGAGGAAGTTACCTGATGGTAACTTACTACATGGCTAATGAAGCCATCATTCTTATGGCTGAGAATGGACAGCATTTGAGAAATATCCTCAGGCCAATTTGACTTATACTATTAGTAAATACTATGAATTTCACATTAAATCTTAATATTTCAATTTTGGTATTCTAGTATTCAATTTCAGTGAATTTTATTGTGTATTTCTTATTCTAGGCCTATTGGCGTTCTTGTGCCATGATAATGGGCTGTGTAATAGAAAGGGCATTCAAAGATGAGTATGTGGTCAGCTTGGTCAGAGCCCCGGAAGTTCCTGGTATGTATTCATATTTATGTAGTTTTGTAATCTGCATATTTTGGTCTCTAGTTTTGGTAATGTATAGAATTCATTCCTAGTTGATGTAGTGAATCATCATGCTTATGCTTCTTTTCGTAGGTAAAACAATTCATCCTATTATGCTTTATTAATAATATAGTAGCAGTGGGAAAATATCTATTGAATATGAATTTCATGGACACATATCACAGTGCTTATATTTTTCCAATATAAGCCTTTATTTCTAAAGTGAATGTGTAGAAGAGGAAATGGGAGTATAAATAAAGTTTTAGAGCTGTGCATAGATGATGTTCTTTCACCAGAAATTACCCTAACTCTGAGAGGGATACCATGTTTCTGAGGTGGAGGGTAATACTAACCATACTGACATTTCTTTTTTTGGGGGGGTGGGGGTAGGGTCTGCTCGTGGAGCCTGAACTCTGGGCCTGGGTGCTGTCCCTCAGCTCTTCAGCTCAAGGCTAGCACTCTACCACTTGAGCCACAGTGCCACTTACAACTTTTTTTCTTTTTGCTTATGTGGTGCTGAGGAATCGAACCCAGGGCCTCATGCATGCAAGGCAAGCACTCGACCACTGAGCCACCTTCCCAGCCCCCATACTGACATTTCTCAACATTATGTGTAATACAACCATATGTGTTATTTCTTTTAAAAAAAGAATATATGGGGCTGGAAAGGTGGCTCAGTGGTAGAGCGATTGCCTTGCATGCATGAGGCCCTGGGTTCGATTCCTCAGCACCACATAAGCAAAAAGAAAAAAAAAAAGCTGGAAGTGGTGCTGTGGCTCAAGTGGTAGAGTGCTAGCCTTGAGCTGAAGAGCTGAGGGATAGTGCCCAGGCCCAGAATTCAGGCCCCATGACCGGACCCAAAAAGAATATATGTTTGTATGTGTGTGTGTGTGTGTGTGTTTATATGTGTGTATATATATTTATATATACATAATATATATAAATATTTGGTCTGGTGCTGATGCCTCATACTTGTAAATCCTAGTTAATCAGGAGGCTGAGATTTAAGGATCATGGTTCAAAGCTAGTCCAGGCAAGAAAGGCTGTGAGACTCACATCTCCAGTTAACCACCTGAACACCAGAAGTGGCTCTGTGGCTCAAAGTGGTAGAGCACCTTGAGCAAGAGAACTTGGGGACAGCACCCAGGCCACTAGTTCAAGCCCCATGACCAACCAAAAAAAAAAAAAAAAAAAAAAAAATATATATATATATATATATATATATTATATATATTTGAAAGAAGCCTAGGAAATCATTCAAAGTTTGGCAATAATAAAAGAAGATATATAGAAGATATTATGAACCAAACATGTCATGTCCACATAGACTTCATTTACTTATTTGAATGTTTAATAGTGAGTTTAGATTAACAAAGATAAGTTTAATTTTCTTATCAAGGGAAATTGGTAGAGGTGGAATACAATTAGAATAATGGCAGTGGTTTTACAGTTTGTAAAGTTGAGAATTCTGACTTTTCATTGTTAAATGTTTAATTGTTGCAAATTAGTGACCTGCCTTAAGAGATTTGACTTTGCTTTTTATTTTGGTTGGATTTACAGTAATTGCTGGTGCCTTCTGCTATGATGTAGTTTTGGATAAGAAACTGGATGAGTGGATACCAACCAAAGTAAGCATGTTTTATTGGAAATTTACTCTATGCTTTCCTTTGTTGAAATGATTCCCGTTGGGGTTGTTGAATATTACTATATATTAAGGACTCTTACAGAATTAGAATCTGCTTATCTGTGTCTTATAGCTTTTTCAGCATACATATGACAAAGAGGTATGAATGGGGATTACCTTTAATCAGGTGAGTATGTGTGTATGTATGTATGTATATATAAATTATTAACTAAAATTAACTTAATTCATTATCTATGAAACCTGTTTTTTTTTTTTTTTAAAGATGAAACTTAAATGCTAGCTGAGGTAGGTGTCATACTGTTGGATGGATGACATAGAATATTTACATTAAACTAGGAATGTTTTTTATGTTATCTCTAAGAATAAAAGCCACTTTTTGTAAAAATGTCTAGTAAGAAATTTATGGATAAAAAAAATTATGAAATGGTCTTGCTAAGTCGCCCAGGCTGGCCTTGATCTTTGTGTTCTCCTGCCTCAGCCTGAGTGCCAGGTGGAGAGAGTTTTGTTGTAAAGTTATTTGTGTGGTAGTGCTTGATCTTTCCTATATTAATAATGATTTATAGCATGAAAGTTTCATTGTAGGTTTTATATTAAAAATATGATAAATATTGTAAATAGGTTGACATGCTAAATAGTGTTAAAATGTTTATTTGCATAAAATTAACATTTCACTAAATAGCAATTTAAAATATTAGAACATACATTATATTGTTTTCTTTTTTCATGCATTATATTTTGTACACAGCCAGCACTGTCTAGTAAAAATTTGAATTATGAATTTTTTCCTATGAATTTAATAAACTTAGTTGTATAATGTAAACACATGTATGTATGTGTGTGTGCTAGTCCTAAGGCTTGAACTCTGGGCTTGGGCTCTGTCCCTCAGCGCTTCAGCTCAAGGCGAGTGCTCTGCCACTTGAGCCACAACCGCACTTCTGGTTTTTTGGTGGTTAATTGGAGATAAGAGTCTGAGACTTTCCTGCCCCGGCTGTGATCTTCAGATCTCAGCCTCCTGAGTAGCTAGTATTACAGGCGTGAGCCACCAGTGCCTGGCTCCTTGAGCTTTTTTGTTCAAGACTAGCTCTCTACCATTTGAGCCAGAACTGCACTTCTGGCTTTTTGGTGGATAATTGGAGATAAGAATTTCATGGACTTCACTGTCTGAGCTGGCTTCGGACTGTGGTCCTCAAGATTTAAGCCTCCTAGGAAGCTAGGGTTACAAGCATAAGCCACTGGTGCCTGATTGTAAACATGTCTTGCTGTTTATTAGCATTTTGTTTTGGTAAACATTTATAAGACTGTATAATAGTTTGAATGAAAAGCTTACAAAAATTTCTTTGTAGGCTTATCTTTGTTATTAATTCAGAATAACAGTTATAAGTAAATTACACTTACGTAGTTTGTAGAGTTGGGAGAATATATGTGGTGTAAAATTGAGTTGTTGCATATTAAAAAACTTACCTAAAGAATTTTCTTTTTCTTTTAGTTAGATTCATAGTACTAAAATTAGTTTTACTTTGTCTGACTTATGGAGAAAATCTTTTTGGTAAATTGTTACTAAAGGTTCATACTTCAATTTTTAGGAGAACCTACGTTCCTTCACAAAAGATGCATATACTTTAATATATAAAGATCTCCCATTTGAAACTCTGGAAGTTGAAGCAAAAGTGGCATTGGAAATATTTCAACACAACAAGTAGGTGCTGATTTTATTTAAAGCAAGGTTATACCTCCCCAAGCTATGTGTATATTGAAGTGCAGCTTTAAGAACATCTAGGAGGTCCTAACTTCAAACTCCAATATTGCCTTTGCCAAAAGAACTTTTATATGTGATGTACAGATGACATCATTTTCTGTTCTGAAAGCTCTTTTTCTGTACCAGTTTCATTGTTGATATCACTGAGAAAAAGGTTCCTAATGTCTCCTGGTAACTTTTTTGTTTCTTTTCTGTCTCTTCAGCCAGTTTTTCTCTCCATATCAACATGGTAGTATAGTTCCTTTTTTCCATCCAATCTTGAGGTGATAACATAAGTTAAGCAACTGTGTTATTTTGTGTCCTTGAAAGCCCTTCCATCTCACTCTCTCACACTAAGAGAAAGAGTGTAAGATCGAAGGCACTCCGGAGGAGATGACACCGAAGTCAAGTGCTCATTACTCTTTCTGCTTTTGTTTTTTTGTTAAGATGTTGTACAGAGGGGTTACATGAATAAGGCAATGAGTACTACTCTTTCTGCTTTTCAGGTACAAAATAGACTTCATAGAAGAGAAGGCATCTGAGAACCCTGAGAGAATAGTCAAGCTGCACAGGTAGGTACAAGTCTAAATGCTGACTACTGTGCTCAATACAGCGCAGCTTTGCTGTTCTGATAGATGAATAGACAGATGAATTTTGCACCATATTTTGAGATGTATTTTGTACCGTATATTTTGCCATTTTTATTGCCTTATTTTCTATTGCTTTGTAGTAAACAGCAAATGAAAGCTTTAAATTATCTTTAAGGGACAACTGTGTTCCTCATTTTATTGTTTGTTTTTATTCATTCCCAGAATTTAAAAATATTATTTCTGAGTTAATTTTGAATTAGGCAGATGTTTATTTGTTCTGAATTGAACAGTACTCCTAGTTCACATACAGTCTGAATACTAGTTAGTTATTATTTAGTTACATGTAAGCAAGTTAAAATGGAATGTGCTCTCTACATGAATGAGGACAGTCCACTGCTTATGTTGATGTTTTCCTTGGACAGCAAGCCTACACTGCAGGCTTTGTGGCCTGCATCTACTTCTCAACACATTTTCTTGATTGGGGTTTAGCCTTTTTTCTTCTCAACATATTTGTTTCTGGACCCAGTCTGTCCTGCATGCTGCATTATAAGCTCTGTTGCAATGGGTTACTACCAGGTTTTGGTTGACCAGGTTTAGACAATTGTATGAACTTGAAACCTGTTGTGTTCTATGATTCTTAAAAGACCTTTAACTTAAAATGAATACAAATTAAGAGAAAGAGTCACTTGGTTTAATTTTTACTTTATGGATTGTATGTCATGGATTATGTTAGGTGGAATCAAAAGTTCCTTAATTTTTCACTTTTTAAAATCATCTGTAAATAGTTGTACAAGTTATAAAATTATTTTTAAATATTTGTACAAAGTTTACTAGCTGTAAATAGTCATATAGTTTTGAGATACTTATGTATACAATGCATCCTGATCATTATCACCCCTTCTGTCATTTTCCCCCGTTTCCTCCACCTTCACCCATCTCCTCAAATTACCTAATTTTGTTTTCACGTATGTTCGTTTACTATTATGACTGTGTTTGCCATGTAGAGCCATGTAGATTGTTTTTTGAAGAGAAGTGTAGCAGCAAATAGAGTGAATAGACTTCAGTTTTTAAGTTATAAATGATTTCATGTGAGGTTTTGTTTACTTTGTGCATCAAATCAGAATTGGCGACTTCATTGATGTGAGTGAGGGCCCTCTTATTCCAAGAACAAGCACTTGTTTCCAGTATGAAGTGTCTGCAGTTCACAATCTTCAGCACTCTCAGTCACCTCTTATACGAAGGTTCCAGGGTCTGTCTTTACCCACCCACTTAAGAGTAAGCAATTCTTTATTTTCCAGCCCTTGCATTCTGAATGACTTGATTCTAGACTTAATTTATCTATAGTTTTAAAGACATAGACTTGAATTTTCCTTAAATTATGTGCTACAAATACCAGTATTTTGTAAACTTCTTTTTGAGTAAAAATCAGGTTTTCGCAGGATATATAAGTTAACTCATAAAAAAATTGTTGAAAAAATTAAAAGAGATAGTAGTTTTAATTTTCTACAGTAGCAAAAACAAAGATGCAGTGAGGCAGTATGGAATGCATATTAATAATACACATTAATAATATTCTGGCATGCTTTTGGCCTTACATTTTTGATTGCTTATGATTTATGCCACTACCAGGGCCTTGTGCTCTCATTCAGGCTTTTTTGCTCACTATCGGTGCTCTATTTGAGCCTGATTCCTTGTGATTTAAATAATAATCTCTAGCACATTGAAATTCATAGCAAATGTTTGCTTTTCAGGTACAGTTTACAATATGGTCTAAATTATTGGAAAGATCTCGGAAAGTGGTAAGCTTTTTAAGAAGATTATTGTTATTATTAAGGTATTACACAGAAATGCTACTATTTCATAACTTAGGCAATGAGTACATTTCTTTTTGGGGCTTTTGTACACAGCTCAAGCTTCTTTCTATAAAAAAATGTACTTTGAAATTAAATAACAACAACCAAAAAGAGGATGGAAGAATAACAGCAAACCAAGTAATGTCTTTTTTTTCTTTTTTGGTTGTAGGGCTTGAATGAACTCAGACCCTGGGCCTGTTTGTGCTCAAGGCTAGTGCTCTGTCACTTGAGCCACATCACCACTTCTGGTTTTTGAGTGGTTAATTGGAGATAAGAGGCTCCCGGATTTTTCTGTCTGGGCTGGCTTTGAACAGCAATCCTCAGATCTCTGCCTCCTGAGTAGCTAGGGTTAGTGAGTGTCTTATTATCCACATCAGCGTTTTGATGATATACCTTAGTAGTAGTTGGTAGGAGTAAGGCTCTAACTGGCTTTGAAAGCAATCCTCAGATCTCCACCTCCTGAGTATTTAGGGTTAGTGAGTGTCTTATTAGCCACATCAGTGTTTTGATGATATACCTTAGTAGTATTTGGTAGGAATAAAGGTCTGAGTTGTCAATTCTCATATGATTTTTGTTAGTAATGCTGAAATAATACTGTAGAACTTCAAAAGAAATGAGAACATTACAGTATGATAGTAATTATTCTTAATAGCTGTACTGACATTAATTATTGTCTTAGAATTTGTTTTTGTAAACTTCAGAAGTATTTAAAGAGTAAAGACTTACCAGATACATTTTAAAGCCAACTTGACTCATGACACTGAATGTGAAATATCCTAAAAGCCAGATTTAAATGTGTCTTTAACATTTAATTTTCACAAGTAATAGTGAGTAATTATATTTTGTGAGTTACTTGACCACTTGAGCTTTTCCTCTTGTCCCTTATTTTCTATTACTCTATGAATACTGCACTCCCGTGCGCCGAGGCTACAGGAGGCAGAGATCTGAGAGTTGTAGTTCAAAGCTAGCTTGGGCAAGAAAAGTCCGTAAGACTCTCCAATTAATGACCAGAAAACTGGAAGTGGCGCTGTGGCTCAAGTGGTAGAACACTTGCCTTGAGCTAGGAGCTGAGGGACAGCGCCCAGGCCCAGAGTTGAAGCCCCACAACCGACCAAAACAAAAAGAGAAAAACAGAAATCATGGACAATGAATTGTTGTGCTGATCATCATCTTATATTTGGCAACCATTCACTTAAAAAAAAAATACTGGGCTCAAGCTTGTAGGCAAATGCACTGATTAGTACACATGAAACTTCAAATTTGGTTTCTTCAGAACAGTTTGTCTGGTTTTTTTCTGAATACTTCTCACGGAATACAAATAGGAATAAGAGCTTCTGCTGTGAGTGGTGTTCACGTGGCAGTGAGACTGCTTGCTGTGCAGAATCCACTTGAAGAGATTTTGGAAGCATAAGTTTCTGTGTGTGGGGAGCAGGTCCCTGTGCCCTCTCTCAAAAACAAACCAAAAAGGAAGAGAGGAAGGAAAAGAGGGAGAGAAGGGAAGATGGGAAAGAAGAAAGGAAAAAAGGAAAATTGTACTACAGGCATCTATTTATGCTGTTCTAAATCCAGTTATACCACACCATATAATGAATTCAAAATACCTTGTATGAGAATCTTGGTACTTTTTCTCTTATACCAATGTTTATTTTATAGATGAAGAATAAAATGATAAACCGGGGTGATTTTGAATAGAAATATACTTTGCTTGATAATTTGTATTCGTAATTTAGCTTTTATATCTTTCTAATTTTTCCATTAAACTTTTTATAATCATAGTGAAGGGAGGTGGACTGTGGATGGACTTAAAACAGGGTCAGACAAAAGTATTTTATTGGAGAAGTAAAGCTATTCATGTTTTTACAGGTTACTGAAGATCGAACTAAACCAACAGAGGGCATTGCATCTACCTAATAACTTGCCAAAATTTAAATATATATAGTAAATTAAAATAAAAGCTTTTAATACAATGTTTGTATGTGCTTTTAAAAGTTAACTGTTCTTTTTTTCCCCTTAGATTTGTTTTTTCTAAAGGCTAAAACAACCTTGTTCATGGTAAAAATTTCACACAGAAATAACTCTTTCCCTTCCTTCTCCATGTACATTAGCAGGTTTTTTCCTTTTGCTGTGTACATATACACAAATGTACAAATATGCTTGTCTTGTTTTCACTTTTCAAGCAATGGTGCAGTAAATGTCCTTGTGCAAAATGGCAGTTGTTTGTAAATCAAGACCCATGTTAATGACATTCATTTAATCCTTATAATAACCCATGGAAATAGTGTTTCCATTTCAAAATGATAACTGAGAGAGTTTGGGAGTTGTACATTTGGAATGTAAACAAAGGCAGTTCCACTGCCATTTTATAGGTGTAGTTTCTGGTAGTAAAATTATGGCACATGATAGAGGATACCTACCTGGAAGTCTTCCCAGCATCAGTGACTAATAAGTCTGTTTACACTCTGAACAAACATCTACTATTGTTCCTTTTGAGTATTTTGCCAAAAAATTCCTGCTCTAGTCTAAATAGCCTTTTTGAAACTGGTGTACCAGCTTAAAAGATCTTAGTGTATGGAATCTTCTTCCTAGAGTTCATTTGTTTTTGTATTTCTTCTTTGGTAGTATTGGGATTTGCACTCAAGGCCTTATGCTTGGTAAGCAAGCTTTGGCTCTGCCACTGTGGCCACACGCTGCCCTTTTTGCTCTTGCTTTTCAGATATCCTCTTGATCTCTACAACTCAAGTAGATCATCTCCCACTCTAATCTTCTATTTCTTGATTAACTCTCATTGTGCTTCTGGAGTTCATCCTCTTTTATTTTTTTCCCTCCAATGTTTGGTTACTGAGAGTTTGAACTCAGGAGTTTGTGCTTGTTCGGTAAGAACTCCCTCACCTCTTCCACTTGAACCCACATATCTGGGATCATCTGTACATTTCTAGACCGTGCTGTTTTTGTGTGTGGTAGTACACATATCCAATCCCAGCTATTCAGGAAGCAGAAGTAGAAGGATTGTCATACAGGGTCAGTCCCAGGTAAAGGTAGGACCTCTCTGACAAAATCAAGAGAGCTAGAGGCATGGCTCAAGTTGTAGAGTGTTTGCCTGGTGAGCATGAGGCCCTGAGTTCAAATCCTTTATCAGCCATCACTCCAATAATAATTTTATAAAAGGCTTCCCATGGTGCCCTCACCTCGTTAACCAGGCTGCTAAGTGACTGTCTCCACAGATCTCCCAACGTCAAGAAGTAGAGGGAGCAAGACTCCTGGGAAGAGGGGAGGGAGGCACAAAGGCTAGTACAGGACCCACTGCTGCTAAGACCCAGCACAGACCAAAAGCAAAGACCAGAGCTTGCAGATCTCTGTAGCTGATTTCTTGATCTAAAGAATTGAGAACAAAATTGATTCTTGATCCAGAGAATCAATTAGAATAAAATTAATTCTTGAGCTACCTATAATGAATCCATACAAGTCAACTTGAAAAATAGATGCTGAGTGCAGTCTACAGCAAAAGAACACGTTGAAGTTCCAATGTCAGTGAAGACTAGGATGTAATTCCTGATTCAGTACACTTGTGAGTGAGGCCCTGAGCTGAGTGCAACTTGGAAAAGTTAAAAAGGATAATCCTTTTCTCCAGGAACTTAGTATAGAGAAGAAAGCATTTCACAGACTACAGATTGCAGATTGGCCACAACATGGGGCAATTTACTGGGGCTATTTGGGGGAGAGCAGAGGAGAAAGTTCAATTTGTGTAATCCTTCTTAGAGTTCTTTTATGGATATGCATCACATAGGTTAAAGGATGAAATTGTTGAGCTTCTGGAATTTGAGGAAGGATAAGATATTCTGTATGTGCCCTGGATTTGGTTATAATGGTTGCTGATGTTTTGACAACCCAGGTGTGAGGGGAAATGGTATAGCAATGACATAGTGACCATGCCATTGTTTAGTTCACTCTGCAATGCAGGAACAAGTACCCAGCTCTTTGGCCTTCTATCTATTAGACAACAGTACAGAGTCACTGATTGGTGGCAGCTGGTTGTAGAACACCAGTTGATTTCATTGGAGAAATTGAAGTCAGGTGGATTTTGTTGAGGTGATTAGGATGTTTTTAGAGGAGAAGGATGCTGAAATTCTGAGTTTAATTGCAGTCTATCATGAAAGAAGTGAAGACAGGACATGTCTTACCATTTTGTCTACTGTGTAGCTGCTTCTCATTACATAGAGTGAACAGTGTCTACCCACAGATACATATGTTGTAGAAGTTCTGCTGAGCACGTTCTAATTACCACCTCAGCAGTAGTATTGAATGTGAACTACTGTTTCTAGAGGTGGTTTGTGAACCACCAGAATCTAGATCACCTGGCTTCCTAGTAAGAAAGGAATGTCAGCCCCAGTAGAGGATCTAGAGGATCAGAATCCCTACTAGGAGACTGTATGTGGACCAGCTACTTAGGTAAGAATCACTGCTCTTACTTGGTATTTTTAAGTTACTTGGTTTAGTGATTTTTATTGATCAAAAGTCACTCCTTTAACCTGGTGTTATTATTTGTTTTATTTTGGCAGTACTGGGGATGAAACTTGGGGCCTCATGGTTATGTGGCTTTCTTGTTTGGCTGGTGTTCTTACCCCTTGAACCGCACCTTCAGCTTTGCTTTTTTGCTGGTTATTTTGGAGATGCAGTCTCATGACTTTTCTGCCTGGGTTAGCTTCAAATTACGATCCTCTGGATCTTAGACCCGTGAATAGCTAGGATGACAGGCATAAGCCACCAGTGCCCAGCCCAGTATTCACTATATTAAAACACATTTCTGTTTTTAGAATTGAACTTGAATAATAATGTGGTGATTAAGTTAGTAGGCATTTGAGAGGCTCAGAAATGTGAAAGATACTGGTTCAGTTCTTACGGATATTACTTCCTCCAGTACAGGTAGGCATTAAATCATGATACTGTGAGTTAAGTGTGCCTGAACTGGGAAATCCCTGAGCATTTCAGGGAAGGGTGGAAGGATGACTGAAGACAAAACATTGTTGTGATGGCATTTACAGAATCTTCCAATATTTACAAGTATATGTTTGACAGGTGAGCATGCATCCGGAACATCTAGATTTGTTACAAATACAGCAATGATAGGGAAAAAGAGTCCTTGTGTAAACATTATTTCCTTATCCTTATTTCTGTGGGAAAATTTGAAACCCAAAGTGAAAAGCTGAACTCCAGTGGGCAGGTTCTTTCCAGTCTTTGTTAGTAGAGAAGCGCATATTCTTTCTTTAGCTCTTCATGTCGGTGCTTGGTGCTTTCATTTATGGATTTTGAGTATTTTTCTCAAACTTCCTTTTCTCTAAAAGCTACCCACTTTCTTTGGGGTCCTGGCCATGATTTATTTGCAGGAAATGGCTAATATCTTGTGTCTTCTATAAATCAGTTCTCCTACTTTTAATTAATTTGCCACATGGTCACATATGGGACAGTTGTCTTGATATTATTAATATTAAAAAGATGTAAATAATTTAATGTGTCAGTCAATTCAATCTTATGGGTACAGTCTTGTGTGTACAAAATTGGATCATGTGTTGCTATTACATTTTCCAAAACCCCCAGACAACTCTCTTATGTTTAACCATTCTTAGCTTGTCACTTTAAACACACACAGTGCATGCATGAGCGCACGTGTATACACACACACACACACACACACACACACACACGTTACCCTGTTTTGAGTCCAAACACACACCCAGTCTTACTCATACTACAAGAGTTTTTGGAATGACTGGATGTGTTGTCAAGAGGAATCCATCTTAAGATCAGGCCATCAGCAAACAAAGCCTAGGAAAGTTGGACCTCAGAGAAAAACCCAGTGCCTCTGGTCAAATATCTAGATTCTTTCACTGGTTATAATGGTCAAATAAGTTGCCTGAGTTCCAAATGCTCTGCAAACAAGAGATGTTGCAATAGCTTTCCTTAGAACTCCTTTGTGATGCCCATCTATAACTTCATACTAGGACAGCAGTAAGATAATTCTAATCCTAATATTCTGTGAGTCTGTGGCTGTAGGCAGTAAGAAAGGTTTTGAGAAATAGGGAGTTTCTTTTGAAGATACAACACACAGATTAAATAGCCCAAAGAATCAGCCTTGAATGTGATGTTCATACCTGGGTGCAAGTTCACTGCAGGGATTAGAAGGAGAAATTTATCTTGGCAGCACACATAGTTTCAGCAGAAAGGTATGACTGAGGTTAAGCAGCATACTCACGAGAGTATGCTATGATTCAAGAACATTACCTTCACTGTCCTTATTATTTTTCCATTGGTTTCTTTTAGTGTAAATATTTTCTGAAATTACAACTGTACTTTGAAAATTAAAAAAGGCCACAGCAAAAAAAGTTCTATATCACTTCACGAAATTTACTTGGTTACCATGAGTAAACGGTTGTACAAAACATTCAGAATTAGTAAAATAAATATACATTAAACATGCTAACAATTACATGTGGCTGTGCATTTGTGATAGTTATGGAAAATGGTTACATAGAAATCCAAGTCTTTATACTTCAGTAAAGTATTTCTTCATTTAATTTCATGACATTAATATAGCATTTTATCAATTTACAAAATAGTTCTGAATCTCAAGCCTTACAGCAACCTTTTACTTATTCAGATAAGGCAAGCTCTCAAATCCAAATATCTTGTTTTCACTTATGTGGAATACAGTCCTGAAATGATGGTGATTATGATGATAATGGACACATTGTAAAGTGAGGGTTTTTTTGTGGGTACCAACAGTAGTTGGAGGAGGAAAGAAGAGGGTATTAGGTAGTGAATAGGATCAAAGACTATTACACATGCCTGTAATCCTAGCTACTCAGTAGGTTGAGAGCTGAAGATGATGATTCAAGGCCAGCCTGTGTAGGAAAGTCTGTGAGACTAATTAGTTACCAAAAATCTGGAAGTGGAACTGTAGCTCAAAAAAGCTCAGG